GATATCTCCTTGAATATTAAGATTGTTCAGACTCTGAGCCGAATTTAAATTGAAGTCCGAAGGTTTTGAATGTATATTTTTTATTGTATTTCTTTTTCTTATAATATCGCATTTTTAAATGTATCATTCCGATAATTCTGATTAATCTCTATTCTGATTAACCGGGGGGGGGGGGGAAATCAATCATTTCGAAAACGATTTTGCGATACTGGAGTTACAAAAGATACGAACAGTGTTGTTTTTTTTTTTTCGATTATCTTTTGTATCTTTGTTACAAATTAACAATTAGTTGTTATTTCAAATCAGCATTTTTGATAAGAATTATTTCGATAAGTATTATCATGAAAAAAATAAAATAATACCCATTTGCAGGAAGATATTTTTGTTGAAGATCTACGGTAGAATTCCATTTATTTGAACCAAATTTTAGGTAATACTCTGTCTCTCTCTCTCTGGTTGAACTTGTTTATTTAAACTTATTTAAACTCCTATTACATAAACTCCTATTATATAAACTCCAATTATATAAACTATTTGTTTCTCGATAAGTTCGTATAAACGGAGTTCTGCTGTACTTAGTTATGTCGTAATACAAAGAAGTATGAAACGAAGTTCACAAACGAGGGTTGAATAGCTCTGCACTTCGCTGTGGAACGAAGAATTATCGATAATTATAGGTGATTGGCGATAATTCTCACGAAACGCCTTATCTCCACGCATATACCGATAAATATACTTATCGGTGCTGAAAACTCGAAGTCTCACGCTGTCTGTTACCATCATTTACCATCTCGTGAACTTCTCTGCTGTTTAAATCATTTATTATATCAATTTGGCACAGATCAAACTAAGAACAGACGCACGTAAAGCTTCGAAAACAAACGCGAGCGTGACTTCAAGTAGCTAGCACCAAAGTTGCTGACAAACATTCTACAGATACGAATCTACATGATAAATACTAGATTTAATCCATCATGTGATCAAGCATTCATAATCCAAATAGATAACAATAATAATGATAAAATTCGGCCTAACGCTTTTTATGTATTTCCAGATGTGGTATTCCATTGTGGTTCGAAGTTTGGACAACTGCGAGTTATTCTCTTCTTGTCCAAGGCGCATCCCCAAGGACAGGATCGTCGAAACACGGCACTTTTATCGATGCTTGAACAATACCGGATGAACCTCGAATCTTGGAATCATTGACTCTTGGTAGTTTAAAGCTAAAGGAAGGCCACCGCTCGGAAATTGATAGTGATTCTTCGCTACATGTGCATATCAATCATATCGTATTTAATTCCATGAGATTGTAGCTATCGTTATGTTTCCCTTTGAAATTTCTATTTCCGTTGAACCGTGCCTCCTCACAGTTGTAGACCTCGTCCTGTTCAACTTGTACCTTTGCCAGTCCGTTTGTCAACTTTTGCTTCATTAGTATTTATTGAATACAAAGCGGACATTCGAGTTTCCCTCGTCCGTTTCCTGGAGGGGAAATATATCTGTGAAACGATTTATAAAATTATTTGATACTCGCCTGACCCGCGAATGTGTATCACAGGCGAAGGACAAGCGACCGGAAGTGAAAAGGCTCGATTGCCATGGCGAGCCGATTGTGGAAGATATTGTCCCGAAGACGGATCGATGACGACATCAAGGACAACAACGAGCTAGCAAGGGTTTTGGGCTTGTTCGACCTGACGGCGCTTGGGGTCGGTTCAACCCTCGGCCTCGGTGTCTATGTCCTCGCCGGCAGCATCGCCAAAGAGACGGCTGGCCCGGCTGTCTGCATCTCCTTCCTCATTGCTGCCATCGCTTCCGCATTTGCCGGTAAATTGGGATGGCATTCGCGCTAGCTGCGCCCGGATATTGACAATTTGCTCTTATTAAAAACGTTGCCAGTTGCCGCAACGCCTAAAGTTTTAAACCGAGAAAGGAAAGGAAGAGTTACACTATGTCAAATTCAGTTCGCGGGACTATGCTATATTTAGCTGATATGAATTAATCAATATAATTTATTAATATGAATTTGCATAAACGTCTGCATTGTAATTTCCAAGGGACACGTGTCGTTGAAGCATAACGTTTAAGTTTGATTGTAATTGAACACGTTTTATGTACAAAGTTATGATGAATAACTCGCGGACGGACACGTAAATGCTTCTATTTTAAAGTAAAGTGTTATGTTAATTCAAGAATGTATATGTTAATACATAAGGATATTGATACATTCTTTGAATTTGCAGGCATGTGTTACGCAGAGTTTGCTTCTAGAGTTCCCAAGGCAGGATCCGCGTATGTTTACAGCTACGTGACAGTGGGAGAGTTCATTGCATTCATTATAGGATGGAACTTAATGTTGGAGTATATAATTGGTGAGTTACTCACTTTCGTTCGTTCGTCGAAGCTCGATGACAAGCAAAGATTCTTAAAGTATCACTTGTCTCTCCGAGATGTATTAATTTTATCGAAACGTTTTATCGGACTTTTGTTGTTCGTAGAAAGCTGAATTAAAATGTTTCATATGATTAAAATAGAGATGTTTGTTACGCATAAATTATTGATTGTTAAATTTGTGTATGTGTCTCTCGATCAGGTACAGCAAGCGTCGCTCGAGGACTCAGCGGTTACTTGGATGCTCTGATTGGAGATGTGATGCGCAAGACGTTACAGGCCGTGATGCCTATAAATATCGAATATCTATCAGAGTATCCAGATTTCTTCGCATTTGGTCTGGTAATGCTTCTTATAATCTTGCTCAGTGTGGGAGTGAAGGAATCGTCAATTTTAAATAATATATTCACTGTAATAAACCTAACTACTATCGTGATAATCATAGTGGCAGGATCCATGAAAGGTAATAATAATTCGCATCAAGGAATTGTTCATTCTCTCTAATGTCACTTCTATCTCACTTTTCCCGTGTCATCCAGTTGTCTGATTGTTGTCTTTCTGTTTCATTGCTTCTCTTGAAACTTCTAATATCAATTAATATCACGGTCGATAAATATTTATGAAAGTACCATGTAATTTAATTTGCCTTATCGTTTGATGGATCTGTCGTGACTCTTGCTAATTGGCTTTTTAGCTGACCCGGCTAATTGGAGGATACCGGTAGAAGATATACACAACGCAACAAATCCAGGATCGGGAGGCTTTATGCCCTTTGGCATAAGCGGGGTGATGATCGGAGCGGCAAAATGTTTTTTCGGTTTCGTCGGTTTCGATGCTGTGGCAACTACCGGTGAAGAAGCTAAGAATCCTCAACGCAATATACCCATAGCCATCGTTATTTCCTTAATTATAATCTTTACGGCTTATTTTAGTATCTCGACCGTGTTAACTATGATGTGGCCTTATTACGATCAGGTACATCAGTCCGTAGACGCGTGAAGTTAATACAACATCTTAAAATACTATAAAAAGTACTTTGTATATTCAGAACGTCGATACACCGTTTCCATATGTTTTCGATCAAATTGGATGGCCTACGGTTAAATGGATTGTTAATATTGGCGCGGCATTTGCATTGTGTACGAGCATGCTTGGTGCGATGTTCCCCTTGCCAAGGATACTGTACGCAATGGGCAGCGACGGAGTGATTTTCAAGCAACTTGCAATCGTAAATCCAAGAACGATGACACCTATTTGGGGCACAGTGGTCTCCGGTCTACTTATAGGAGTAATGACACTTATTTTTAATCTTCAGCAACTGATTGACATGATGTCTATAGGGACGTTGTTGGCATACACAATAGTGGCGATATCCGTTCTAATATTGAGGTACAAGATGATAACAATACTCAAATATGTTTACTCATTTGTTTGCTTACTTTACTGCAACATGTTTATTCTATCATTTTAGATATCAAGCGAAGGAGAATAGATCAAATATTCATTCTGTATCAGCAATGAATGAGTACAAAGTAACACCGGTCAATATTTTAAAACAAATTATTAATTTACAGAATCAGAAAGAGATAACTGAGATGTCAAATAAAGTTGCAACATACAGTATTGGAATTTTATGTAAGTCTCAAATCTTAACGCAATACAAATTTTAATACACAATCAAGATTATTCTTTACACATTTTATTACTGTTGCAGGTATCATTATATTTATCACCGGAATTTTTATTAATTATACTGATACCACAGCATTAGGCAGCAATGTGATAGAATTAGTGATATTAATCGTACTTGTAAACATGTTGTTATTAATAATGGTTATTATTGCAAGACAACCTACCCAAGATATTGACTTAGCATTTAAGGTGAACGAAAGGAAGTGAAGTGGATCCTTGTATTGCGATGAACAAAATTATGGCCAATAAATGACGCGATAAACTATTTAATATTTTATCATACTTTTCGATTCTCGTTTAACAAGGCAATATATCCATTATATATTTTTTATGAACCATCTCTTTAATAATTTGTTAGAGATCATAAATGCAAATTTGAGTTTGCACAAGCAAATTCGTATAACATTAATTTCCTATAATGCAGGAATTACTGTCTGTAATGTACAAGGGTCCACTGTATAACAAAAATATTTAATGTTATGTTTAATCATTTTTTTCATTTACAGGTACCATTAGTACCACTTCTTCCATGTTGTAGTATTTTCATAAACTTTTATTTGATGTTGCAGTTGGATGGTTTTACTTGGATAAGATTTGCTATCTGGATGTTTATAGGTACATACACTGAAATGTTAATAATATTTGAGAGAGAAAACGAAAGTATTAAAGTCTATAGTCGTATAATAAATTATTAATTAATTATCTTTGTTTTACATAGGTTTTTCTATCTATTTTTTTTATGGCATATCTCACAGTGAACAAGGAAAAAGAGATAAAAGAGAGGCTGAAATGATAAAACGAAAATATTCAGATCAAATTAGAATCGTAACCAGATTCTAATAATCTCGCTACATGTGATATTTTTTTTATATATATTTAAATAAATATTTGCTCTAAGAGAAAAACTTTAGCTATTACACATGTGACTATTGTGACAATTTTAAAATATATTTTAATATTAGATCATTCAATATCATTCATTTTTTAATAAGTATAAAACATTAGAAATAGGATATCATTCTAATTGTACAGATTATTTTTACATGTTATTCTCATAGAGCAAAACTTTAGAATTATTTCGTTGAAAAAACCTGAGATATTGTATAATATATAAGATTTTATGAAAACTTTTGTTTTCTTTTGTATCTATACACTAAAATGTACTAACATAATGTACATATTTTATTATATTATTTAGATACTGAATGCATAGATGAAATACATCATTTATTTTATATCATTTATTGTGCATTTATCAAAAAGTATATCATTTTAAGAAAAATCAAATTTATTAATATAATTCAAGTAAATGTGAGAAATTGTAGTACACATTCAGCGATAAACTGTATATATCAGTAAATAATGACATGATACAAGTATAGTAGTCCACGTTGCAAAGCTTAATATTATAATTCACAACAAAATAAACTTTAATATTTATAATAAATTTTAAATAAACTTTAATATTTATAATAAATAGATTTGTAATTAATTTACTATTAATGATACATTATAAATTCACACGAGAGAGACTTTATAAAAATTTATATTTACTTGTAGTAATTTTATCAATATTTTGAAGTAAGTTTATGCACATAATACAAGTAAACATAAAGTTATAGCATTAGAAGTATTAGAACTACATGAAATTTATTTATTATTAATACAATTAATGCATTGTTTTTTAAAAAGAGATGGAACATTTTCTTAATATGATACATTATGTTATGATTCACTTTTTTAAACATTTACAAATGTCAATTTTTAGCAATCTTTTTAAATACATCTTTGTATAAATGGAAGAAGCATATAATAAATAAGGGGTTAAAAAATAAAGATGTATAAAGGCGTTATAATCTCCATTCATCAAATATTTGCATCAATAATCTCATCTTATTGTTTTGTTTTTGTATTATTCTTGTATTATTCTTTGTTTATTACTTTTTTATAATAATAAAAATTTATAACTAGACAAGGCATCTTGTAGACTTCAATAGAGTTCTATTTTACAGATATTCTATTATTTAAAACTAAAATTAATATTTCTTGTTTTCTATTTAATACGAATTATTTAATAGTTATTTAATACTTAAATGCACATATTTGGAATGCTTTGTCGAGTGTTTCAATATAAAATTTTATGCTAAAAGTATATGAATGGAGTGTGTAATAAATGTGTTCTATAAAATAATCTTATTAATACTATTTTCTTTGCACATGTTTATATCTATATTTCCCCATTAAATGAAAATAACAGAAGACCAAGTAAATTTACTTTAAGAAGAATTAATTATGCATTCAAGTAATGTTGATTTTTGTACGTTGTAGATAAAATAATGCTTTTCTCATTTATTAAATACATTATACATTTAAGTTTGTGTGATTAAATTGAGTATATCAAGGAAGCTAAGCCATGTAAAATATACATATGCACATACGCATTGACTTTTTTATTCATGAAAAGTATTCGAAAATCAAACTATAGTAGAGTACTGTGTTTTTTTGGTAATAATTCAATATTTTGTATACGCGATTTTTTAAAAGAATCATTATCCATGTAAAAGTCAGACGTTCATTTGAGTTTATTTATAAGTCCCTCTAAACTTACATGCTGCCAATTTGCCTGTTAATAACAATTACACCTATGTAATTTAATTCAATTTAAACTACACAACATCATATAACATCAAACTTACCCCTATTCCTGTTGCCCAACCAGTCCCAGCTGGATTCTCATCACTAATACCTATTCTACGACACAGTATACCAGCTCCTGAGACTGCCCAAACTTGTCCCTGTTCTCTTGCAACGGCAACATGTCGAAAACCTTGCTTCGCATTTATAACAGACATATCTGAACAATACAAAAACACATTATATACTGAACATGTAATACAGTACATAACATTATTATACTTATAATTATGAAATAATTAAAAACAATTCTTTATAATAAATTTATAATAAATTTCAATATACTATGAATCATCTAAACTGATGTGCTAAATCACAACTATAGACCTAAGATTATACCTATAGAACAGGAATCAGAGAGTGTATTTAAATAAACGGATGTGTTGTCAATATTAGCGTTTCCCAACTCGAAGCTTGTTTTCAAAGGTAATACGCAGAGTTTCCCGAGAAATGCAGCCCTTGAGGTTTGCATCTTATATTTTTCTGGAATTTTTGTAGAAAAAATTAAGTGGGTTTCTGATGAAATCGTCACGTAACGCTTTGATAAACGTATTATTCGTTAGTTTCAATCTTCGTCTAACTACAGATTAACGCCAATGTTTCAAAAAATTAAGCTAGCCAAACATCTAAAAAAGTTAGCAAAATCACACTTGGGATTTATAAGGTTGGGAAACGCTGTTCACTCGACAGCAAATTTAACAATACCTATGTGTATAGGATCATTCGGCATCACAGGAAGCGTTTGCCAATGCGTTCCTTCCGGGAAAACGTTCACCTGTACACCACGACGTACGGATAATTTACCTGCCGCATCTAAAGCCCACACCACATCCTTCCCAACAGAAATTTGTTTCAAATGAGCACCCGACGGCGGTTCAACATTTTGCCATTGTATTCCTAAACAATCAAGCAACAATTAGAAAAAAAATTCAATAATAACAAAAATTTATTTATACTATCATATACCTGTTGGTTTTGTAGGAGTAATACCTAATCTCCAATAAGAGGAACCATTCTTTCCAACAGCCCAAACTTGTCCACATGGACCACATGAGATACCTACTAAAGCTTGATCACTTGGTATATGTTCCCATGAAACTCCCTGTAAGTAAATATTAAATAATTTCACTTAATTATTTATGATTATTAATATTTTCATTAATTATTTATAAAATTAATACTATGTATGTATACATATATTAACACTATATATACGTATATATACCATCGGACAAGATTCTGAAACACCTCTTCTAAACAAAGCTTCACCATTAGAAGCAACGGCCCATATATAAACAGGAGCATCCGAACCAGATTTCCCAGGTGCCTAAAAATTAGTTATATAGAAAGTTGTTTTACGCTATTGTATCGTATTATTTTACGATTCTTTTTTTTTTTTTTGTAAACAAAAAGTATCATGCTCTTTTAATATCTCTTACATGCAAAGAAACATCGAGCAATTTTGTATTCCCTAATTCTTGCCACGGTCCGCTAGTTGTTAATTGACATCTTCGAAACCATCGTCTTCGTCTAACGTAATCAGTAAATTGTTTTTTACCATGATATTGAGAAGGAAAATCTGTAGCATACTGCCACCCTTCTCTATCAACACCTCCAGGGGTATGAAAATCTACTATCCAATCTGATACCTGTAACAAAACAAGATATTTCAATATAAAACATTTGAACTCTGTTATTTAAATACTATAAAGAATATGTATATTATTACCCAATGCCAGTGCATAGATAGCAGTTTAGTATGTTCACGTGTACGCTTATGTCGTCCAGATGCGTCACTCCACATATAACGATCAGTTGGAAGACCATGAGATGTGTATCCAGTCACCGGATTCCAACGCTGGTTTTCATAAACATAATAATTGTGAGTATCCACCATGGTGTTTATTCCCGTATTACTATCTAATCCTATATAAAATAACATACAAGATTATATATACATATATTTTCAAACATATTTTTTTTTTATTTTAGAAAATATTACCTTTTAGGAATAAACCACCCCAACCACCAGTATATACCCACGCAGTACTATCATATCCTATTCCCCATGTTACACCAACAGAACAAGTTTCAACCTTTTTTAAATGTCCGCCTATTTGTCTCCAAAACATTGTAATTGGATCAATTATTACCTACATAAAATTTATATTACGATCAAGTTATATAAAGTTACTTATATCTATCTAAGTTACTATCAAAATTAATACGTACAGACATAGACTTATAAAATATGTTACATAATGTCATCAGTCCCTTGATTCGTAAATGAGTAATACTTTGCGGTAATATTCTATGGCTATAAAAAGTAAATTCTGTATCATCAACATAAATTCTATATCCTCGTGTTTCGCAAACAATCTCTAAGGTGAAATTAGAACCAGGTTTTAACGGACTACCTCCGTTTCTCTCTTCGTCGCCCCACTGTCCATTTTGATATGTATTTCGTACAATTATATTTTCTTTTAATCTTGGATTAAAATGTAATGCTACGTCATGGCTGTCCATTACAGACTTCTGTTTCAGCGACATTGTTGAATAACAGACGAAATTAATCGATAGCCTAGAAATTATGAAAATATGAAGAATTTTGAAAATTTTAATAAATCTAATTTTAAACCATTATCGTTTACCTATCTGCATCATCATGGATACAAGCTATAATTTTTAGAGAACTGCCACATCCAAAACCGTTTTGTAGAATACATTCAAAAGGTAAATCTTTTCCAGTAAACAATTCTTGTATATAACCACTATTAGCAAGTTGATTTTCCTCCAAAAATAATTCATATGTAAAATATTACTGAAAAAATTCATTGCATAACATACTGCATATAAGATGTGTTAACTTACTTCTAAAGCAGCAGGATCATATACATATACATCTCCTAACGCAGTTGTAGTCCATATTGAATTAGGGCCAGGTGTCCCGTAAACATTATTCATTTGGCAAGAAACTAAAAATATAATGAATATCTTATGCCATTCACTTTTTTATGCATATTAAATACATACTGATATACCTGAAGTTAAGTGTGCTAACCAATCTTCCATTTCAGTATCAGTAGAAAACTGTAGTCTAAGAACCTTAGAACGAGGCATACGAGGAGTATGAATCGCTATGCGTGGATTACCTGGTTCACTACAGCATACTACGCACATAATCTCAGACACAGAAAATTGCATCTAGTATCAATTACACAGATTAGAAGTTCGGAGTTTTAAATATTACAAAAAAAGATTATTTTGAATTTTCTATTTAACTTACAATTGTTGTTGCTCCGTCCGAATTTAAAATGGTTACGATTCCAGAATCTAAAGAACCACTGTCGCTACTTATCCATTCTAATTCAATAATGCAATCTTCATACGAAGTACTGCCCTTAAGTTTACATTTTGCGTCTCCATTTTTTACCCAAGATGATCTGTAATAAATTATTATAAATAAAACGATCCAATACTTAGGTTGATATAAATAACTTTATATAACTTGATCGTAATATAACTAATTTCAATTTTGTATACTTATCGAGGCCTTACTTCTCAACTACTTTCTCGTATATCGATGGATTGTACTGTACTTTTTGCAATCTCTTCTTCAGTTCTTCTAAAATATATATTCTCCATGCCTCTGCTATATCTCCGTGACCTGTACCATTTGTATCTGCAATCCTGTTTAAATCAAATATTTTAATAATTATATCTTGTTATAAAATAATCTGATGATTCATAGTGTCTGGTACTACCATTTTGGAAGATTAGACGTATCAACAAAACACGCTCCAGCTTCTACTTTATACCAAGAGGTATCACATTCAGCCCAATACATTGCTCCAGAACTTTCATCTTCTCCATAAACACCAGAATCGCTAGTCAAATCGGGATCGAAAATACTTCCATCTGTTTCTGGATGTGCTTCGATACCTACCATGGAGCCAACTGAATGAACAGGACTCCATGCAGCTGGATTGATCTACATTATTTTAATTTCAAATTTTAATTTAAAAAAACAAAAGATTATGCACAAAGAAAATGTGTATAATTATTTTAATTTAATAACTAACTTTGACAACATTGCCCATTCCTTTTCCAGAAACTACTATAGATTCTCCAGTTTTGGTCAATGACTCATTTGATATAGTTATATTCGCAACACTGGCTTCCGTTAAATCATCCATATCTAATGAATTCGCCGATCTACAATTTTATCCATTAATAAAACAATAATATTACTTGATATTAATGTTTACCTTTTTTTGCCTTCATTTAGATATATATCCTGGAAAGAAGTTTGCTGTGGATTTTTAGTAGAACTGCTATCGTTTGCACGTTGCCACAATTTCAAAGATGTTGGTGTTGGTGCAGAACGAGATTGTTCTTCCCACTCTCTAATCAGTGTAGTACCCTCACTGGTACTATGTGGTCGATTCTGTAAATGAGTATTCTTTTTTAATTAGTAAACGATATATTCGATATATATTCGATACTATATTTAAAATTCATGTAAAGTAAATACCAATGAGCCCCAACTTTGATGCCTCTGTTGTTGAGGAGTACCACACATACTATGTCTATTACTTGATGACAAACTGGCATTGCTACTTGCGCGACTGAGCTGAAGAGGTGCATTTATTAATCTCCACTTTTTACCCGTTAATTCCGATTGTGTAATACCAGAACGATAATATAAACATCTATCCTCATGACCAATAGCCCAAACCTTCAAGAATATTAAATAAGCGAACATCAATACCTTATAAATATCTTATCTTTTTGTTATCGAATTACCTGATCATTTGGAGCAACAGATACTAGTGACATTTTACTTAACATTTCCACCCAACCAGTGCCAACAGCCATTTGCTCACATACTCCACTCATTTCTCCTTTGATACCTTTTCTAAACCATACATTTCCATCTTGAGTTATAGCCCATACAGCGTCTGTACCTACACTAACTTGTATTAATTTTAAATCTTTTTTAGGAGGACCAACTTCGACCCAATCCTCTCCTATAAAATAACATTATGCTCATCAATATCAAATGTCTCAACCAAATAGTATTATAATAATGTAATAATAGTTACAAACCCATTGGATTTTCTCTAGTAACGCCTGTACGTACGATTACTTTACCAACCATCAATACAGCCCACACAAGACCAGTTATTCCAACACTGATTTGGCATACCTCGTATCCATTTCCTAATTTTATAGTACTCCATCTTTGTCCTTCAGGACATGTTGTACTAGTAGCAACACGAAACATCACCTATACAAATCATTAAATTTGTAATAAATTGAAATAACATTACAGTTATAACAGTAATCAGAAATACAAAATTTGTTACAAATTTTTTGATAAATTATTATTATTCACTAAATAATTCAAAAGATTGTTTTAGATATTATACCCTTCCATGAGCAGTTACTGCCCAGACTACTAGACATCCAGGATTACCTCCAGGTATCTGATTTCCACCTACAGATATGTCAATAAATGGTTCCTAAAAATATGTTATACGTGCATTTCATATGCGAGTTCTTCAATATTACTATAATGTAAGAATTTAAAAATCTTACTTTGGTTGCATCTTTATGAAGAGGTGCAATAGCACACCATGAATTCATAGCACTGTATCTTCTATAACGAACCCACTTCCTTCTTCTAACACAAGATTTCCATTGCTTTTTTGTTGTAAATATAGCTGGAAAATCAACTGCATATGTCCATCCCTACCAAAATATCAGATTCTCTGTGATCATAACACTTTGTTTCGATGTTGACAATTGACAACAAATCTACATATAAACAGAAAGTCACAAGAAATATGACAACAGAGGTAACTGAAAAACGAATTACTCCATTATTAACTCATTGATCACTATACTCAGATTGTTAACGAATAAATTAGAATTTGACATGATGTAATTCATATTTTATATAAAATGAGTATGATCGTTGTTATTAATGTAAAAATTAAATTAACAAAACAAAGTAAATTAAAAATAAACGTTATTATATTTACATCGTGATCTAGTGGTTGGCCATCTAACGTAGTTTCTATTTGCCAATCACCTTCCCACTGCCAAGCCATGGATGGTAATTTTACCTTATCTCTGCTACGGTCAACTGTACCATCTTGGTTAGAAAAATTATACCTATCTGTAGGTAATAATCTTCCACTAAATCCTTCTAAAGGAAGCCAACGCTACACATATTACATTCTATTAGTTTGTTAAAAATTATATATTATCACGCAATACCAAACATCTTAAACATACTTCATTCTCATATATTTCTTCCTTAATTCTTATAGGTACATCTAAGCCATGTACGTGTACATAAACTTGACGATCACCACCTATAGCCCACATAAAATGTGGTACTGCTGATAACTGCTTAAATTCAAGACCCAAATACATAAATTCCCTCCACATAGTCCCAGACGTTGACAATCCAAACACACGTCCCTCATTATTTATGGCATACAAATATGAGCTTGGCATTTTAATATTTAATAACTAAACCTCTTAATTCTTGTGAAGCAATATCTGATTTACCAATGGAATTATGTTCCGCCAATGTTATTGAATCACTGTGTAAATAAGTAATAAGATAATAATAATCTTTATAAGAGTGATTCATAATTGATAATATATAAGTGTATAGATAGTACCTTCATATGTTTAAAATCAAACATAAATGATTCTCTCTGCACTGCAGACAATATTATAATAAATAATAGATAAAATTTTTTTGCATAAATACAATAAGATAAAACAATAACCAAAAATGATTTTGGTTATATGAAGTATTTATATTTTACATTTTTCATCATTGACATTATATATCACATCCAATAGATTGGAATGTAAAGACAACTAAGTTTTACATTAGTTCCATGCGAAGATTTAAATTAATAAATTATTAGTCAAAAAATAAAGAATATTTTTATACATTATATATATATATATATATATATA